ATATATATAATGTGTATATACATATACATATATATATATATATACATATATATATATATATATATATATATATACATACATATAAATGTGTTTGTGTGTGTCTATGTCTATATATGTATATGTATATATATGTGCATATATATACATGATATATATATACACAAATATATGTACAGTATATATATATATATATTTGTGTGTGTATTCATGTATAAAAATACATACATACATACATATTTATACATAAACATTTATCAATACACGCAGACAGGTTTGATCGATCTGCCCAAGCCACGACCTTCTCGGTCGTCCCACAGGCCTCCTCCACCCAGGGTTGTCACGGACAGAGACAACCTGATGGGCAGGATCATCCTGCGGGAATCGAGCCAAGTGGCCATATAGCCTGAGTTGGCGATCACGGATTGTGCAAGTAACAGGTCCTGTACCGGTCTCATGTTGTAGCCGTTGGTTGGACACATGGTCCCGCCAACTGTACCCCATGATCCGGCGCAAGGATCTGTTACAAAAGGCATCGAGACGAGATTTCAAAGCACAAGATAGCGTCCAAGTTTCACTACCATATAGTAAAACTGGCAGTATCAGGGCCTTGAAAACTCGTAGCTTGGTCCTTCTGCACAGGTACCGGCATCTCCAAATACTCTTGTTGAGAGATTTCATGACCCCTGCTGCCAGGCCAATCCATCTACTGACTTCCTGGTCTGACAGCCCAGCGTCATGAACTGCACTACCCAGGTATATAAAGCTCCTTGTGACTTCGATGTTTTCACCGCAAGCACTTACCGACTGCACAGGGTCTCCTAGTAGGCCTCTAAAATCCTGGATCTTGGTCTTGGTCCAGGAAACCTCTAGCCCCAGGGGCTTCGCTTCATTGCTAAATGCATCAAGAGCCGCCACTAGGGTTTCCAGAGATTCAGAAAGAATGGCAACATCATCAGCAAAGTCAAGGTCTGTAACCTTGATATTGCCCAGAGTTGCTCCACAGTGACTTTGGACAGTAGCTCTACCCAGTATCCAATCCATGCAAGTGTTGAAAAGTGTTGGTGCAAGAACACAGCCTTGCCTCACGCCTGAACTAACAGGAAAGAAGCTTGACAAGCCCCCATCACACTTTACAGCACTTTCAATGCCTGTATACAGGCTTGCTATTAGTCCAACAATCCTTGTTGGAATTCCTCTCAGTCTCAGGATCTCCCAGAGTGATTCGCGATGCACCGAATCAAACACCATCTTGAGGTCGATGTAGGCTGCGAGCAGCCCACATCCGAACTCACAATGGCGCTCTACAATGACTTGAAGTGCCAGGATGCGGTCTATTGTGGATTTACCAGGAGTGAATCCAGATTGCTCCAGTCTTTGGTGCCTCAGCAGGTGGTCTCTAATACGTCTTAGTAAGATGTGCGCGAGTACCTTGCCTGGTACACTGAGCAGTGTAATGCCTCGGTGATTGCTGCAGTCCCACCGATCCCCTTTCCCCTTCCAGAGAGGGATGACCACACCTCTCAGCAGGTCAGGGGGGATGGTACCGGTCTGCCAGATGGCAGACAGGACTGCATGCAATCCCCTTGCCATAGGTTCTCCACCAGCCTTTAACAATTCAGCTGGGATGCCACAAACACCTGCTGCTTTACCACTCTTCAGTTTGGAGATCGCCCCCCTGACTTCAGTCAGGGAGGGTGGATCCTTGCTGATGGGTGGGTTTGGCAGAGGAGTCTCAACATTACCAGCATCCAAGTTAATTGTTGGTGGATCAACCTGATACAACTGCTCAAAATACTCAGCCCAATGCACACGCACCCCATCAGGATCTGAGATTACCTGGCCACTTGCTGAGCGGACTGCTGTCGTCTGTGAGGAGGGCTTAGAGTTCAGCTTTCTCAGGGCTTGGTAGGCAGGACGAAGGTTATTTACTAGGAAATGGCTTTCGACCTCCTCTGCACGAGCCGCACGACAAGCTTCTGTGGCTTCCAGTGTCTCCTGCGAGATGGAATTCTGTCTTGCTCTTGGGCGTTCACCAATGGATTCCTGCGCTGCATCAAGTGTTTCACGCTTGAAGGAATCCCACATAACTACAGGGTCTGTCAGGTCCTCGAGTGCTGTGAGACGACCAGAGATAGCCTCAGCAAACCCCCGGGCACACTCGTCCTCCCTCAGTCTGTCCAGATGAAACACCCTGGGGTGTTCATTTGGTCGATGGGGGGTTCTGAAGTGGACCCGGAGAGTAGCCACAACTAATCTATGATCAGTTCCACAGAACTCGGCGCTTCGATACACCCTGCAGTTCTGGAGGATCCTCCACCGAGTGCTGAATGGATGTGGTCTATCGATGCGGGTCAGAACGCTGATACCAGGAGCCAGAGATCCTCAATTTCTGGGACCTAGCAAAGTCACGGAAAAGGAGGCTATTCTCGCTGCCAGCATCAGCTCCTGAGCCATGGGGACTGACAGACATCTCGTAGCCAGCTCGATCACAGCCGGATACCGCAATGAAGTCGCCCAGAACAATACTAATATCTCGCCGAGGACAACTGTCTGCCACAGATGCAATCTCAAGTTTATATACATCCGTAGGAGCGTACACAACAATAAGAGACATGAAGCCAAATGAAAGCTTCAGTGTCAATACCATTATACGCTCATCGACTGGAGTGACATCTACTACCTCTGTGTGTGTGTGTTTGTGAGCGTATATATATATACAGATAGTCCCCTACTTAAGAACATTCTACTTATGCACATATGAACAAAATTTTTAAAATACTTAAATCCAAAAAATTGTTTGAAAGATGATAGCAAACTTCAAATTTCCCGGGCGCGAATACAGTTCACGAGTCTGCCACGCCGCGACGCCGCCGCGCTCACTCAGCTGTGTGCATCACTCGCCTGCCCTCCCGCCATAAACACGAAAGCCTCTCTTCACTGAGTCCTTGTGTACCGACAATTTTGGTGCCATAATTCGCTTTACCTGTGCATCAATCCATCAAAAATGTCGGGTGCGAAGAGAAAGATAAACGGTGAAGCCAGTGGAATTGCCAAGAAACGTCAGGCTATAACTTTATGGATCTTATCAATCGGTTTGTCAGCCAGTCACAACTATATATTTTCTTTTTGAATAAATTATGTTTCTACATTTAAAGTTGTATAAATCACCATCAAATAATATGAACCCTTTCACGACGAGTGACGCCGCTAGGCGTGAAAAGAAACCGCACGAAAAGTGCCGTGCGGCTGTACGCCGCGGCGGCGCCAAGCGCGGCGAGCCAGTGATTCGGCCTGATGTACGGAACTCACGCCCTCAAAGTCGGCGCACTGCCATTGTTTGCCAGAGCATAGAGTTTTGTAGAGTTTTTTATTTGCCAGTTACCACTACAATATATTTTCTTTTTGAATAAATTATGTTTCTACATTAAAGTTGTATGAATCACCATCAAATAATATTAAAAGCATTATATATTACAGGTACTGTATAAGGTACGTCGTACTTATTGGGATTTATGTACAGGCATTCTTAATGTAAACAAAATTTTAAAACAATGGGGAAAAAAGGCAATGGAGACCCGACTTTCGACTTCACAACAGCCTCTCGGTCCCCATTATATCCATAAGTTGGGGACTTACTGTATATATGTGTTTGTGTGTGTTTGCGCGTGTATATCTGTGTGTGTGTGGATATTTAGTTATATATGTATATATATATACTTATATAAT